ACTGCTTTGCTCACCGTCCACCAGGGAGGAGGCAGGTGGGCTAGTGCCCCCTGCTGAGAGCGCTCCCTGCGTGCAAGTCAGATGATTTTTTTTTTTTTCCTTCTTTGCGGTACGCGGGCCTCTCACTGTTGTGGCCTCTCCCGTTGCAGAGCACAGGCTCTGGACGCGCAGGCTCAGCGGCCATGGCTCACGGGCCTAGCCGCTCCGCGGAATGTGGGATCTTCCCGGACCAGGGCACGGACCCGCGTCCCCTGCATCAGCAGGTGGACTCTCAACCACTGTGCCACCAGGGAAGCCCAATTCAGATGATTTTGGCCGTCTCTGCTCCGAGAAGATGATTGACCTTTTTCTTTTCTGTGTTAAGCAGATATATGCGTTTCCTGCCCTGTCCACTCTTCTTTTCTCAGACCTGTAATAACATGTCGTCTTTCTTTGGCGCCAGGTACTTCAGACCAAGCGGAGCTCCCGGAGGCAAAGCCTGGAATTGCAGAAGTGTGAAGAGATCCTCCACAAGATCGTGAAGTACCGCTTCAGTTGGCCCTTCAGGTGAGCTCCGTGGCCTCAGGCGCAGGGGAGTAGGGCCAACCTTGCAGCTGAACCCCGAGGACACATCTCAGTGGCAGGGAAATGAGCTTCCAGACTAGCAGAGCCCGCTCTGAGTGCAAGCGAACACAGTTGCTCTGTCTGCCAGTGGGCTGGTCTCAGCAGGGTGGGCGTTCTGGGGCTGGTGGTTTGATAACAAGGTTTCTGTCCATTGGATTCAGGGCTGCGCTTATCTCACCATTTGGTTCTTCTCCACAGAGAGCCCGTGACCAGAGATGAGGCTGAGGACTACTATGACGTGATCACCCACCCTATGGACTTCCAGACAATGCAGAACAAATGTTCCTGTGGGAGCTACCGCTCTGTGCAGGAGTTTCTTACTGACATGAAGCAAGTGTTTACCAACGCTGAGCTTTACAACTGCCGAGGCAGCCATGTCCTAAACTGCATGGTGAAGACAGAACAGTGTCTGATGGCTCTGTTGCATAAACATCTTCCTGGCCACCCATATGTCCGTAGAAAACGTAAGAAGTTTCCCGACCGGCTTGCTGAAGATGAAGGGGACAGTGAGCCAGAGCCCGTTGGACAGTCCAGGGGACGAAGACAGAAGAAGTAGAGAGGCAGGGGCCCTGGTAAGGGAGCTGAGGTTGGGGGAATCGAGGGAGAGAGCGAGGGAGGGGGGAGGGAGGCGAAAGAGGACGCTGGAGAAGAACGTGGAAGGGAGGAGGTCACGGGGAGCCCAGGAATGCCTGTCATCCGAGCTTGTGCCGTGTCTCCAAAACTCTCCATGGGCCTTAATCAAGCAGAGCACTTTGGAGAGCCTAATACTGGGTTGGTGGTCTTTGCCCAGAAATACTGTGGGGGATAGATGGCCTTAACCCCCCTTTCCGAGAGTTTCCAGGAAGAGTCCCAGGGTATGGCTTTTCTTGTGAACCCAATTCCTTTTCTTTCTTCTTTCCTAAGGTCCCTCCCACTTTGGCCACCACAACAGTGCCAAGCCCTCTGGTCTCCAGGGGAGGGATTACTGTATTACGTAGAAGGATGAAGGGTAATCAGGCCAACTGGGTTTTTTAATCTATATTTATACACAGTCTTGTTTCTTTAAGCCTGTGCTCTGTCTCTCCCTCCCTCCCTCTCAGGTGATGGTATCAGTGAGTGCCATACAGAATTCTGTGTTCACCAGCATCATGAAACAGTTGTGGTCTGTTGAGTTGATCTTGGCAGAGTAAAGGGATATGTCCTGTAGCCATTCCTGAGTACCCCTCCCCTTCCTTGTGACAGCTCTCTCCCCACTCCCGCCCCACCTTGCCCCCTGGAAAAAAAACCCTAAGGCACTTCACTCAGAGACTGGAGCCCTGCTTGTAACCATGCATATAACCTTTACTTTGATGGGTCTGGCCAGAGGGGTGTTGGAGCCCAGCCCACCCACATACCAGACAAGCTCTTAGGGGAGCAGAAGAAAAGCAGGAAGAATTTAAATGTTTAATTTTTTTTAAATTGACTTTTCTAGTTATTAAAAGTTGCTTGTTTCAGCAGTGATATTGTATAAAGAACATCTTGTAAAAATATTTCTGTCATCTTGCTTTGGCACATGTACAGTACAGTTTATATGATAACGTGTTTGCTTTACTTCGCCCAGTCTCCTCCCTTGGCCCATCGTCTCTCCTTTAGAGAAGTTGGGTTGGGGTTCATCAGGGCCAGCAGTGGGGACCTGGTCATGGACGATCCCTCTGCCTGCCCTGGTGGCTGTTTCCGCCGCCTCTGTGTGCAGTGCCCCTGCTGTGCTGTTCTGGCCTCAGACTCAGGCTCCCCGGGAACCTGAATCTCTCAGTGCTCAGTGCTGGGGTGGGGGGCGGAGGGCAGGAGGAGGGGCTCCACGGCCCCTTCCCACAGTGAGTCTAGCACTAGTAGTTATGTTTAGGCAGAACTTTGTAGTCTTCTTTCCCTTTTATGGCAGATTTTGATAAAAACACAAAACAGGGTTTAATTTCCTTTTCTGTCAGCTTTGAATTTGGAAAAATGGGAGCACCTAAGCTCTTCTGTACCTATTTAAAGTAAGGGAAAAGAAGTCCACCAAGGGGATTGAAGCTCACAGAACCTGAGAATTAAAACCTCTTAAAGTGAAACTTCAAGGTGTGATCTTGTCCCCTGGCCTCCTTGCCTCCTTGGGGTTTGCTCCAGGGGCTGCTGGATAGGTTTACCATCCTGGCTCCCCCAGGCTTGGAGTTAGCACTGACGTTACAATTTCACAATCCCAGCCGTGGACACCTGCCCTGCCTCTTACCCTAGAGCCAGTCTGTTCTTGTTAACAGTGAGAATTCCGTGTTCCCACTTCAGTGACACCTGAGTTTTGTTGTTTTTCAAGTTGTCCTTAAGGAGGAAGGGCCCCATTAAAGGGTAAACTTGTAATAAATTGGAATTTCAAATAAACATTATGTACTTGTGTTTATAAAGAAGAAACAATTCTGGTGAATTTTTCTTTGTGCTCTTGGAGGGTGGTGCAGTCCCGAGCGAGCGCTGTCTTCCCATGGACTCTTGGAGCCTGTTCTTCTGGAGAGGACCTCCTCTGACTTAGTCTTTTTAACCACAGGTCAGATCCATCTACTGCATTTCTTTGCTTCCAGGAGAGAGTTCTGGTGCCCTGGGTAATCGAAGCTGTGACCTTCAAGCCTCTCCTGGCCTTGTCTTTGTCTCAACACCCACCCCCCTCCCCCCCATTCCATTTGAAACTTCTAAGAACTAGGAGAAAGTATTTTTTAAGGCTTTGCTGTGGGAACTTGTGTAGTCCTTCAGGACTTAATTTTGGGGGAAACTCGACATTTTAAAACACTTTTCAAGGAAAATATAAAACATACACAAAAAGTGTGGAAATAGAACAAACTCCCACCTACTCAGCTTCAACAGTTCTACTACATAGCCAATCTTGTTTTATTCGTGCCTTCATTTATATTTTATGCTGGGAGTTTTTATAAAGTCAGAGTAGCTAATTTGAGTAGATCACTGCTGGCTGGCAACCTGCCTGTGGAGTTCCAGGATTTTATAGGGCCACTGCATGATCCCATTCACTGAGAAGCGAAACTGCCAGTTCCTGACCAGCTGCGCCAGGGATGGCATAAGGTAAAATAGGAAGAAATCTGAGGAGAAACCTAAGTCCTGGGTGCGGGTTCTGCCATTGACTCCCTTTGTGGCCTTGGTGAGCGTGGGCTTTGAGCCAGGCCCGCGCCAAGCACTCGGGGATTTTCAGTCCCGCAGGGGAGGAAGTGGTTTGCCCCAAGGTCGGATTGAATTTGACCAGCCCTCAAGCTCTGGAGGAGGGAGCTGTGTAACCTCCAGACATTTTCCACACAGGCACGGTTGGACTTGGGACTCCCAGCCCACCCCACACCTGTGAAGTCCTATTCCTGGGGTGGGTTTCTTAGGCTACACCAGGCCAGCGCCTGTGGGGCCTTGTCACCTCATCTAGGCTCTGTATCCTGGTCCTATTCAGCCATCCCAGCCCATTCCTCCCTATCACGAGAAACCTAACTTGGGCTGACTACTGCAAATGGAGACGAGAAAACTTTTTTCCTGAGGAGGGGTCTGGAATACTAATGCTGGCAATCAACAGAGACCAACCCCTCTTCCTGCCTACTCTTGTTTCTCCTCAAACCCTGTCCCTGGGGAGGGAGCACAGTCAAGGGTGGCAGTCAGCTGGTGACTGATTCCAAAGCAGCTACTCAGGGGCGGTGCCGCTTCCACTAGGGAACCAGGTCTCCCACTTGCCCGAGAGCCAGGGTCCCCTCCGCAGGGTACCGAGCGAGACACTTAGACCAGGTAAGGGGAGAAGGCTGCTGTTCTGTTACCCCCCGCCCAGGACCCCCAGGCCTTTTCACATGGGCTGTCCTGGAGCTTCCTCCTTCAGGGTGGCACTGAGCAGAGAGTGACGGCAGCTACTGACACCCCCCCCCCCGGAGGGGGGGCAGCCTCTCCTCAATCTGACCTCAGTCAAGATCACCCCTGCTGACTCCAGTGAACTTTGAATTGTTTCCCTGGAACTGATAGTGATTGAGGTCAGGGCTCAGAAGTTCCTTTAAGAACAAGCACAGGCTCGGCCCTCAGACAGGCTCAGCTGGCGTGGACACATGCACAGACGTGCTGCTCTAAGGGGCCCTGTGCTGGGCTACTAGGCCCCTGAGGGAAGGGGCGGGGGCCGGGGGCGCACAGGCCAGCAGGTGTTGGCTTCTGAGGTGTTTCCATTGGGTTCTGGAATCTCCTTTCTGGGGGTGGGGGGAGGTCCCACTGTGGGACCGGTTTCTCTGGACAAAACCACCCTAGGTTTTGTTTTGTTTTGTTTTTTCTGCAGTACGCGGGCCTCTCACTGTTGTGGCCTCTCCCGTTGGCGGAGTGCAGGCTCAGCGGCCATGGCTCACAGGCCCAGCCGCTCCGCGGTATGTGGGATCCTCCCAGACTGGGGCACAAACCCGTGTCCCCTGCATCAGCAGGTGGACTCTCAACCACTGCGCTGCCAGGGAAGCCCCGCCCTAGGTTTTATAACACCCACCCTGTCCATCTCACCCCATGCCCCGATGGACTCCATGGTGTGAAATCACAAGCTCTGGAGGCCACAGTCTCCCTGGTTGTGTGAACTTGAGCCAATCGATCCCTTCAGGCACTTCCCTTGTCTGCACAACGGGGAGAGGAGGATCAGATGGAGGACTTCTGTAAAAGGTCTTTAATCATGTTTCCTTCTTCCTTTTCCTCTAGGGTCTGGGACTCTTCCATAACGTTGTCCAGCGCTGAGAAGCCTTAGCTGGCAAGGCCCGCCCGCCCTCCCTCCCTCCCAGGTCCTGGCCTATGTGAACCATCTCAGCCTCAAAGCAGAGCCCCCTTGGGGCCTGTCCTGATTGCACGCCCCCCCCCCCCCCCCCCCCCCCCGCCATCCCAGTTGTCCTGGAAGCCAGTCTTGTTTCCGCTGAGGGACACAGCCAGGTGCCCAATGACTGGCAGGACCTGGGTGAACTGGTGCTGCCCCTGATGCTTACCCTCCCCGCCACCCTTGGCCCCTGCACATCACTTGCCTTTCTCCTCCCCTGTTTCCAGAATCCTCTCCTTTGCCTCTGGCTGCCCCTGCCCTAGTGCAGGCCCTCAGCAGTTTCAGGTCGGCTGCCCACAAACCTGGCCTGTTAAGCTCAGCTCGGTGCAGCCACTCCCCCTCCCACTCCCAATTTGGGCCCCTGTCACCTTCATTAAGCTCATTCTGTTTCTCAGTCAGGGACCCTCCCCGGGTGAGTTGCCACATGTTAGGGTCACTTGGTTTCACTGGTCAGAGAAGGCATGAGGACTTATCCTGTGTCTATGAGAAGGGGAGGATTTAGATTGGGGGGATGGGGGGGCATTCCACCTGCCAGCTGCAGGGGTGAGGGCTGCGAAATTCCCTTAGGGGTCAGTACTGTTCCTTGTGAGGGACAGCCCTCTCCCCACTCACCTCCTGAGGGAGCTGATGCCACCTGTTTGATCTCCATTTGGTTTCTTTCTTGTTCCTGTGAGATTGGTGGTTGGTGCAGGGTAAAGGGCTCTGGCTGGAGAGGTGCTGGGTTTGGGGGCTCAGCCCTACTGTGATATGAAGCAGCTGACCTTGGGCCTCCCCTTGGCTGGCAGTGGGGCTGGACCCTGGGGCCTCCTGACAGTGACGCTGAACGTGTCATGCACCCAGAGACAGGAACCAAGACCCTCCCCTGGCTGGAGTCACAGTGGCCAAAGCAGAGGCTAAGATAGGACGCTGAGGTCTGACTCCACGCTGACAGGGTCTCCGGGACGGCCACACACGGAGGTGGCGCAGGTCCTGGCAGCTCCAGGGCCTCCGCGGCACACAGATAGGTGCAAGTACCTTTTCCTATCCCGGCACACGAATGTGGGAGCTGCCTCAGGGACAGCACAGCTGCCATGTGCACGCCCCAGCACCTGCCCCGTTTCTCACTGCTGTGCTCACAACTCAAACCTTTCCACAGCCCTTTAGGAGCTAGGGACCCAATCCCCACTATCTTCAAGGGCTGTCTCTATGCCTGTGTCTGCCACCAAGATGCCCATATAATAGTCCAGCCCCATCTCCACCCAGAGGGACGAGAGGGTGGGGTGCCCTGACTAGGGCCGCAAGGAGTGAAGTGGCCACATCACATCAGCAATCTTCAAAGGCAATGAGGACAGTCAGCTGGGCCCTGGCCCTCAGGCCCCAGGGAGGGGACAGCAGGATGGGCCATAAGGACAGTGGGAACAGATCCTGAGCCTCTGAGGAAAACTCTGAGGTAGGCTGATGCCCTCATTTTTTATACAAAATGAGGAAAGCAGAGTCTTACCCCCAGGACCCAAACAGGCTAGACTCCCCCGGGCCAGAGGGGGACAGTGTCATCCCAGGGGATTCCCTGAGTATCCCAGCAGGCATCCCAGTCTCACTTTGGGAAGCAGGAACCCAGGGCTCAGAGAGGCAAGCAGGTTGCCAAAAGGAGCAAAGAGGAGAAGAATCTGGGACTCCTGCAAAACACAGCTGTTTCACAGCACGATGTCCTCCCCATTGATGGAGAGTCAGAAAACGGGGTCAGGGGATGAGCCCAGAACCCACCCCCAGCTCTGCTCACATGGGAGACTCCTGCAGGGCCCTCACCCTCCTACCTTCTCCCTTTCCAGTCCAGAGAAGACTCAGCGGTGCCACACGGGGGTTTATTCTAGTCACAGCTTCCAGAGAAACTCCAACAATAAATTACATCATTAAATAAACTCTGCTGGACCACACCCCCTTCTACCCCTCCTCCTCTCCACATGCCCCCACCCCCAGGGCCCTGCGGGGGACTCAGCCAGGCCCACCCCCTTGCACTAGGCGACAGGGGAGTGAGCCTCACTGGGTCCTGACAAGTGAGGGTTGAACGAGAGTCTCCCCGCCCTGGTCCTCGGCCCCTCGCACTCACTTGCCTGACCTTGACAGCTGGGCAGCTGCTAGTCAGCTGTCTCCTCCGGAGGGGGGCTAGGAGGGGCAACAGCCTCCCCACGTAGGCCTGTGTCCCTAGAGGTGTGTGGGGTTCTCCAGAGAAGGATCCGTCTTAGTCATGTGCAAGACCACGGTGGGGGCCTTATAGTGGCAGTGGGTGCCACGGCCATAGCCCCCGGGGGCCCGGCAGGTCTTTGCCCGTGCCCGGCCAGCTGCCATCTTGCGGTGGCACAGGCTCTGCCAGGTCTGGAAAGTCTTGGAGCTCCATACCCAGACGCCGCTGGTGATGCCCACCACCAGCGACATGAAGATTTTGAGCATAAAGACAGCCACGGTGGGCACTGAGCCCCCTTGCAGCGAGCAGTCCCTCCAGCCTCCGGGCGTGGTGGCTGCCGAGCAGGGCTGCTCTGTGGCCCGCAAGCGCCAGAAGTCCATGTTGAGGCGTTCATAGACGTAGCACACAATGACGCAGGTGGCGGGCACAGTGTAGAGGATGGAGAAGACCCCAATCTTGACCATGAGCTTCTCCAGCTTCTCCGTGTTGGTGCCCCCTGTCTTCATGATCTTGCGGATGTGGAAGAGGGCCACAAAGCCGGTCAGGAGGAAGCTCGTGCCCAGCACCAGGTAGCAGGAGAGGGGTACCAGCACGAAGCCCGTGAGTGCCCCCGCATCCATGCTGGCCACGTAACAGAGCCCGGTCAGCTCATCCCCTGCCACCTTGCGCAGAGTCAGGATAACGATGGTCTTGAGAGCCGGCAGCCCCCAGGCTGCCATGTGGAAGTAGCTGCCGTGGGCCTCAATGGCCTCGTGGCCCCACTTCTTGCCGGCCGCCAGGAACCAGGTGAGGGTCAGCACCACCCACCACAGCGAGCTGGCCATGCCGAAGTAGTAGAGCAGCAGGAAGACGAGGGTGCAGCCCGTGTTCTCCAGGCCCTCCTGGATCACGTAGAGCGCACCCGCCTCCTGGTCACAAGCCACGCTCTGGGCCCCAGCCACAGCCCGGATGAGGAAGGCTAGCGAGTAGACGTTGTAGCACATGGAAAGGAAAATGATGGGGCGCTCCGGGTACTGGAAGCGGTGAGGTTCCAGCAAGAAGGTGAGCACGGTGAAGGCAGTGGAGAAGAAGCACAGCGCCGACCACACGGCCATCCAGACGAGCGCGAAGTCCTTGTCGCGCCGCGACCAGAACACCTCGACGCCCGGCCCGCAGCGCGGCGCGCACGAGCGGCTCTTCTCCACGTACTGGAACTTCTCGGGGTTCTCACAGGTGCCGCCGGCGGCGCCTAGGATGGCGTCGCCGGGGGGCCGCGCGGGCCGCGGCGCCACAGGCAGCATGCCTAGGCCCTTGTGGGGCTCGGCGGGGCCGGCCGTGGCGTTCTCGGGCGCCTCCATGCAGAGCGCGTGCGGGTCGTTGCGCGTGGGCAGCCGGGCGCAGTCCAGCGAGTCCGGCCAGCCGAAGTTGAACTGCTCCATGATGGGCGCGCAGCGCAGGCGCGCCTGCTCGCACATGGGCCGGCAAGCGGGGATGGGCGTCGAGACCTGGTCGGTGCACATGGGCGCGTAGAGCGAGCACAGGAAGAAGCGCAGGTGGCTGTGGCAGCCGTACTGCACGAGAGGCGCGAACTCGGCCAGCTCGGCGGCGGCCTCGCCCTGCGACGTGTGGCCCAGCAGGTTGGGCATGCGGGTCAGGTTGTAGCCGATGCCGCGGCACATGGGGATCTCCACCGCCTGGCACGGCGCCGGCCCGCGCCCGCGCTCCGGGTCGAAGCGGCCGATCTCCAGCGCCGCGCCGCCCGCCGCCAGCAGCTGCCACAGCAGCAGCGCCCGGCGGAGCGGCGGCACGGCCATCCCGGGCGGCCCCGGCCGAGGGCGGGAGGGCGGCCTCGCCTCACTCTCGCCGCGCCGTCCGGCGCCCCCGTGCCCGCCCGCCACGTCGCGGGGCGCGGGCCATAGCCGAGCTGGCCGAGTGTGTCAGGGCGCGGCCGGGCGCCCTGGGCAGCGCGCGGGGAAGCCGCCGGAGGGAAAGGAGGCGCCGAGCCGCCGAACCGCCGCCACTCGAACGGCCGCCGAGCCAAAGCGTGCCCCGCCTCCCGGGGCCGCGGCTACAAGCCTCGGGGCGGGGCGCCGGGCGGACGCGCCCAGAGGCGTGCCCTCAGCGCGCCGGGCACGCCCCCAGCCGGGCTTTAAAGGCGCCGCGTCTCGCAGCTGCGCGGGGAGGCACCAACCCGGGCGCGGTCTGGCGGGGCGGGGTGTACAAGCGACCTCGTCTGCCCGCTCACACTCGGTTTTTCCCCTTCTGAGTGGGTTGCTGCCCAACCTCTCCCCGCGACAAGACGGTCAGCCGGAGGATTTCCCTGCCACCGTACCGCGTCACCTCTTTTTACCCCAGGAGGGACGATTTCTAAGGCTTTTACGCGTGGGACGCCTCGACCGTGTACTCTGGGACAGTTCAAGTGCAGCCTCTGCCTCTTCACTAGTTTTATGTGGCTTTGGGCTCTTCGCTCTGTTTCCTTTTCTGTAAAACCGGCAGATAATCCTGTAGAAGTGAACAATTCATTTGTTGCTCACGTGCTACTTACCCGTCACACTGCGCACTTGACCTCATTGTCTCTCTCCGCAGTCCAGGAATGGTACATTCTCCCCTTCCCAGGTGGGCCTCGGGGGAGGTGTCACCCTATCCGCAGGAGGTTCTACTGTCTAGGGTGCCCCTTGACGCCTCAGGACCGCTTGAAAACTGCTTCGCACAGAGCTGGAGGACCCCGTCTCCCTCTGCCCCCTCCCCTCCTGTCCTCTGCGCTCCCTTCGTATAGGTTTTCCCCTGGGAATTCCTCTCGGCCCAGAGATCCTGCCGCTCTCTGCCTGAACCACGTCCACCTCCCCCTTCCCGCCCCCGCCAGGCCCCCCAGACAGCAGAGCAGGGGACCGCGTACAGTGACACCCGTGGAATATTTTAGTACACCTCACACCCTCCTCACCTAAGGCAGACAGCTGTCAGGAAGATAACCAGCTTACTCACTCTGCTTCCACGGGCGGCACCGAAACCGTGGGGAGTGGGGAGGACTGTCCTTCCCTTTGTACAGATGGAACGAATCAAGGCAGTCCTAGGGATATGACTCGGCCTCGTGGTGACCAGTGACAATAAGTGAGTGAGGTCTGAGACTGCGACCCCTGAGCTGCCGACACCACCCAACTCCTCCATCCTCAGGTTGGGAAGGTGTTTCTGAGAGGCTGGGGTTGCCCAGGGCCGCCTGGAGTCCCAAAGCCCCTCAGCCCTCCCGCCTCTGCCCAGCCAGGTTCCCACCATGGTTCCCGGGTAGATTTGTGGGTGAAACCCGAGTGCCATCCAGCAGGCCACCCAAAGGGCCCTGCTCTGGTCTGAAGCTCCCTGAGACACTGCCTCCCTCCTCCATGGCCCACCCCCGTCTGTCCTCACCCCCTTGGCCTACAGGTACCTGGAAGACTCAGACTCAGCTTCCGCGTGAGCGCTCGGCATAGGTCCAGCCCTAGCAGCTGCTCAGGGATGCCAAGCAGATGAAGGGCTGAGGGAGTGACCTGCACTGCAGGGGACCTAGGAAACTGGTCAAGGACCCACAGTGAGCCAAGTGGGCCCTGGGCCAGGCATTTTACACAGTGACTTTTTTTTTTAATTTATTTATTTTTGGCTGAGTTGGGTCTTTGTTACTGCGCCGGGCTTTCTCTAGTTGCGGTGAGCAGGGGCTACTCTTTGTTGCGGTGCACAGGCTTCTCATTGCGGTGACTTCTCTTGTTGCAGAGCACGGGCTCTAGGCACATGGGTTTCAGGCGTTGTGGCTCGCGGGCTCTGGAGCGCAGGCTCAGTAGTTGTGGCGCACGGACTTAGTTGCTCTGCGGCACGTGGGATCTTCCTGGACCAGGGCTCGAACCCTTGTCCCCTGCAATGGCAGGCGAATTCTAAACCACGGCGCCACCAGAGAAGCCCTACACAGTGACTTTTTAAACTCTCATAACAGCCCTGCAAGGAATTCTGTGCCCATTTTACAGATGAGAAATTGAGGCTCAGAAAACTCAAGAGGGGCTTCCTTGGTGGCACAGTGGTTAAGAATCTGCCTGCCAAGGCAGGGGACACGGGTTCGAGCCCTGGTCCGGGAAGATCCCACATGCTGTGGAGCAACTAAGCCTGTGCTCCGCAATAAGAGAAGCCACCACAATGAGAAGCCCGCGCACCACAACAAAGAGTAGCCCCCGCTCGCCGCAAGTAAAGAAAGCCCGCACACAGCAACAAAGATCCAGTGCAGCCAAAAATAAATAAATAAAATTAAAAAAAAAAGAAAATTCAAGATATTTGCCTGGGATTACACAGCTCACAAGGGTCAGGGATGGCATTCAGGCTCTTCTACTGCATGAGGCTGCCTGTCACCACCAGAGCAAGGGCACCTGCCCAGCTGGCCCTGCTTGGCCAACACTGCCCTGCTATAGAGCCTGGCATGTGGTGGAGGCACAGCAAGGAGTCGGGGCAGCAGCTGTAATTAGTGCTCACCTCCTCTTAGAGCTGTGCTGGAGCAGGGAAGGGAGAAGGACCCAGCCTCTGGCTCTCCAAGAGGACCCGAGAGATTGGGACTCCATGGAGATGCAGCCAGCCCTGTGCCCTGCAAGAAATACAAACTCGGCCCACCTGAGCCGTGAGAGGCGCAGCGGCAAGCTCCTGAACTTCCCAAAGAGGTAGCACAGAAATAGGGTAACTTTGAAAAAAGGACCTGGCTTCGACCACCTGGTCAAGGAGGTTCCCGAAATGCCAGTGGCAGCTTCCCATTGCCCAGGATGAAGGTCATGCTCCTGGGGATGGCAGCAGAAGCCCTTCCAGGCATAGCCCCCATCCTCCTCTTCCTTTCCTGCCACGACCAACTCCTTGGAAACCCATGCCATGTCATGCCTCAAATCTCCCCAGCCCAGAAGGCCCTTCTCTTCTGCTGTGTTGGGCACACCAGCCTCCTAGGAGTAGCCCCCCAGCTCTTCTGGACAGGGCTGGAGGCTCTGCTCTGTGGGCCCAGAGTCCTTACCCACACACTCTCCCCCACTTGTACACTCATGTACTGTTAGCCTTCCATCCATCTGCTCCCTCTGCCCCAATGCCAGCAGCTGCTCAAGGACCCTGGGGACATTTTATTTCTCTCTGTATCTTGCCCCAAGGAGGCGGAGACGCATGGATGACAGAGGTGCATGGCCTGAGCCCACCACATCATAGTGTCTGTAGGAGGCGGGGGCTCTGGAGCTGCCCCTGTGCAGGCAGCTGCATTGGGAGGCACAGAAGGCTGGAGGCTTCCCCCCTGCTAGGACTGTCCAGGGAGCCAGGTTTTTTTGTGCCCCCGCCCCGCAACCAGGGTGGAGAGGAGTCCAGGGGCCCTTCCTCCAGCAGCCACAGTGGGGAGGATGCCCCAGGAGCCATGGGATGCCAGGCTTGTCACCATGACAACAGCTGCTGCTGGAAGCCAGAGGTGGGGGGTGTAGAACAGCCCCTCCCCCATGCAGATGCTGCCTGGGAGAGAAGAGGCCTCTTGGGCTGCCTGCCCACCCACCCTGCTTTGTCACTCGATCTGCCTCTTTACAAAGGCGGAACAATACGCCAGGCACTCACTGAAAGGGAGACTAGGAGGAGGACCCGCGGGACTGGGAGGAGGGAGATTACCATCAATGCCCACCCCCACTCCTGCTCACTGGGCAGAAGGGCCAGAGCTGGGCGAGGTGGGAATGGAACCCCTCCCAACTCCTCCTCCCGGGGCGGGGGGTGGGGTGGGAGAAGACTCCCTTCCAGGGGGCCCTTGGCTGTGGGCCAATGAGCTGCCCTGCACAAGTGGGAAGGGACACCCTCCTGACCCGTGTCCCCCAACCCCAGCGCTCCGGTCTTCCTTTCTTACCACGTCCTCCCTGACCGAAGCCACCACTCACCCCACAGGACACATGCTGACCTTTCTGCAGCTTGACCCTGGTACTGCCTCCTCCAGGATGACCCCCTGCTTGATGGCCCTGGTGCCTGCCTCTGTGCCCTGCAGTCACCACGACTGCACCTGTCTCCCCATAAACCTGGCAGTTTCTGGAGGTCAGGGGCTGGGCTGTGCTCCTGGGTGTCTTGGTGCCTAGCCTGGAGTAGGCTCCCATAAATGTTTGTTGAATAAAAAACGTCATAATGAGGAGAGGCTGCATGCAAGTGGGGCCTGAGGTTGGGGGAGGGGTACTGATTAGACCCTGGGGGACAGAGGTGTCCGCGTGAGTAAGCAAGAACCAGGAGGAGGGCCGTGCTGCACCTCCTCCAGGTGCCTGGGACAGCCCTCAGGAGGGGCTGCCTGCGGGGGGTGATGAAGGACTCAAGGGGTATCACACTGTCATGCCTGCTCCTGGGCGGGTGCGGCTGTGGAGTGACACAGCAGCCTGGGCAGACAGCAGTGGGCGCCAGCACATATGCATGCTGTGTATGTGGGTCTGGGGCGAGTTAAGTGTGTATACACACACAAGGACACACAGGGGCCTAGTTATTCCCGAGTGTGCACACACCTGGCCACGCCCCAGGCAAGCTCAGGGAATGGGCCCACCTCCCCGCAGCTTGAGCCCTGGTTCTGACTCAGGGTCTCTTTTTTTTTTTTTTAAATAAATTTATTCATTTATTTTTGGCTGCGTCGGGTCTTCGTTGCTGTGCGCGGGCTTTCTCTGGTTGTGGCGAGCGGGGGCTACTCTTCATTGCAGTGCGCGGGCTTCTCATTGCAGTGGCTTCTCTTGTTGCAGAGCACGGGCTCTAGGAGCACGGACCTCGGTGGTTGTGGCATACGGGCTTCAGTAGTTGTGGCTCACGGGCTCAGTAGTTGTGGCTCGTGGGCTCTAGAGCGCAGGCTCAGTAGTTGTGGCACATGGGCTTAGGTGCTCTGCAGCATGTGGGATCTTCCCAGCCCAGGGCTCCAACCCGTGTCCCCTGCATTGGCAGGTGGATTCTTACCACCTGGCGCCCCCAGGGAAGCCCTCAGGGTCTCTTTATTGGGATGTCAGGGGCTGGACTAGACTGTTCATTCTTACTAAAGAAGCGTTTTTAAAATTTCTTATTAGGGCTTTCAAATTTTCATACCTAATTCCCTTGCAACCCTTGCCCTCAGATAATCAGCATCAGGAGTTCAGGCATCTCCTGCAACCAACAAGGGCTTAATTTCCAAAATAAACAAACAGCTCATACAGTTCGATATCAAAAAAAAACCTAAACGACCCAACCAAAAAATGGGTGGAGGACCTAAACAGACATTTCTCCAAAGAAGGCATACAGATGGCTAACAGTCACGTGAAAAGACGCTCAACATCCTGAATTATTAGAGGAATGCAAATCAAAACTACAATGAGGTATTGCCTCACACTGGTCAGAATGGCCATCATCAAAAAGTCTACAAATAGTAAATGCTGGAGAGGGTGTGGAGAAAAGAAAACCCTACTACTCTTGTTGGTGGGAATGTAAACTGGTGCAGCCACTATGGGAAACAGTATGGAGGTTCCTTAAAAAAACTGAAAAATAGAATTACCATATGATCCAACAATCCCACTTCTGGGCATATATCTGGAAAAGATGAAAACTCTGAGTTGAAAAGACACATGCACCCCAGTTGTTCACAGTGGCACTATTTACAACAGCCAAGACATGGAGGCAACCTAAGCGTCCACCCACAGAGGAATGGATAAAAAAGATG